TATAGATATGGTGGTTAATTAAGAAGGCATTTAGCATGCTTCTCTTCATTGCTCAGTCCTTTGAGTATAGGAGTTGGAACATTACGTTGAGGTTGTGCAGGGCATTGGTAAGACCTCTTCTGGCGCATCGTGTCCAGTTCTGGTCTCCGTGTTATAGGAAGGGTATTATTAAACTGGAGAGGGTTCAGAAGAGATTTACAAGGAGGTTGCCAGGAATGGAGGGTTTGAGTTATAAAAACAGGCTGGATAAGCTGGGATTTTTTCTCTAGAGCTTATGAGGTTGAGCGGTGACCTTAAAGGTTTATAAAATCATGAAGCGTATGGATAAGGCGAATGGCAGTTATCTTTTCCCTAGGGTAGGGGATTTCAAGACCAGGAGGCATATTTTTAAGGTGAGAGGAGAAAGACATGAGGGGCAATTTTTTTACATAGAGCATGGTTCGTGTGTGGAATGAACTTCCAGAGGAAATGATGGATGCGGACACAGATACTACATTTGAAGTGTTTTGGATTGTCTTATCATGTTAAGGCACTTTATATGTCATTGTTGTTGAACATCTTCTGTGAAAGAGGAGGTGCAGGGAAAGTTTGATGGCACTTGGGTGAAGTTAGAAACAAGCTTTACATATTTTCTATCAAGAATTGTTTCTATTTGTAAAAAAAAAATTTCCTTTCTGAAATAACTAATGTCTTCTTTCAGTTCTAGCATAGTTTCAGAAGTTCTCCGGTATCTCAGGCGACCATTTTCCACCATGAATCCAAGAAGTGAGCAGTTTTGATCCTTTAAAGCTTTAACTGGGTATTGTGAGATGGGATCAAAACCTTGTCTCCTCCTAATTTTACTTGGGAGTGTTTTGGGAGGGGAAGGTGCAGTGTTGGTAGCAGCAGAACGCAAGGAGCAGGAACCCATGAGGATCTTCCCTCCAACACCTTGATATGCAGGACTGCTACTCAGTGGAAAGCACAGTACGTTCCAGTATTAGCTACCAACAAACAAACTGCATTCATATAGCATCCACAACATTGTAAAATGTCCAAGGATCATCGTAGGAGCTTTAAAGAGACAAACTGTTACCTAGCTGAAGGATGAGATATTATGATATAAACTGTGTGACTGGTCAAAGAAGTAAGTTTTGAAAAAGAAGTAGTAGCTACAGAACAGAGAGTTTGAGGAAACCTGGCCCATGAAACACAAAAAGCTAGCATCCAAACACAGTGGGTAATAGGGAAGGCAAGTGGAATGTGGCTGTTATTTCAAAGGGAATGGAAAACAAAAGTAGGGAAACTTTGCTAAAATTATACAAGGCATTAGTCAGACCATAGCTGGAATGTTGTGAATGATTTTGGGCCCCTTTTATAAGGAAATAATTAGGACATTAGTAGCAGTCTAAAGAAGGCTCACTGGGCTGATACCAGGACCGAGAGACTGTCTTATGAAAAGTGGTTGAGGACATTGGGCCTGTACTCATTGAAATATAGAAGAATGGGTGACAACCTTTTTGAAACATACAAGATTCTTAGAGGACTTGACAAGGTAAATGCAAACAGGTTATTTCTCCCTGTGGCAGAACCTATAATCTCAGAGAACATAGGCCGAGACTAAGGCGTCACACATTTAAAACAGAGATGAGGAGGAATTTCTTCTCTGAGGGTTGTGAATTTGTGGAATTCTTTACTACTGATGGCCGATAAGGCTGGATCATTAAGTACATTCAAAGTGGAGATGGACAAATCTTTAATCGGTATCAAGGGATGTGGAGAAAAGGCAGGGAAGTGGAGTTGAGGAATCAGAGCAGCCATGATCTCATTGAATGGCCTACCTTTCTTATGCATCATCGTCTTATAAAAGGTAGAAAGACCTGCAGTGTTTAGGGTCTAATGATGGGGTGAAGGAAATAACAGATGCACTTTGATCAGAAACAGAGATCACTGTAGGTTCAAGGGCTAGATGAGCTAAGGTACAGAGATTAGAAGCAGGAAAAGGCATAGAACACAAGGGTGAACTAACTCCTTCAGAAGTATTAAGTTATGTCTTGGCCCCAATATTTCTAAACAACTTTTCTTTATCCATTCACAGCTTTCCTTCAAACAGATTATTGTCAAGTGAAATTCCTTTAAAATAGTGCTTAATCACTGGTAATTGTACTTTTCAAAACAAAAGAATCACCCACTATAAAAACCACTTCAGTGCTGGTTTCAGCCAGGAAGTACATGCTAACACTAAAAATAGAAACAGCAGGAGGCCATTCAGCCCCTTTATGCCTGCTCTGCTATTCAATGAGATCATGTCTTTCTACTTCAACCCCATTTTTCAATACTCTCCCTGTAGAACTTGATGCTAATAGTGGAACTGTGTAGATCTCAATCTTGCGTATATTCCATGACTGAGTCTCCACAGAAGAGAATTCCAGATTCACCATCCTCCGAGTGAAAAAGGTCTTCATTCTAGTCTTAAATCGGAACCAATTGCCAGAATAAACAAGAGGCAGTCAGTGGCTAGTGAGATACTGGGGAGATCAATGGTTGGACAGCAGTGAGATACTGGGGAGATCAATGGTTGGACAGCAGTGATTCACAATATGTATTAATGATTTAGATGAGTGATGTGATAGTGATATGGGAGGGTGAATTGAGAGGAGGATGCAGAGATGCTTTGGTGTGATTTGCACAAATTCAGTGGGTGGGCAAATACATGGCAGATGAATTCTGTGGAGAAACATAAGGTTATCCAAACTGGTAGCAAAAACAGGAAAGCAGATTATTATCCAAATTGTGATAGATTGGGAAAGGGGAAGGTGTAACCAGAGTTGGGTGCTGTTGTACACCAGTCCCTGAAAGCAAGCATGGAGGTGCAGCAGGCAGTGAAAGCAAATGGTCTATTTGTCTTCATAGTGAGAGAATTCAAGTATACGAGTTGGGTTGGCTTGATGCACTTGTACAGGTCCTTGGTGAAACCGCACCTGGAGTACTGTGTGCAGTTTTGGCCTCCTTATCTGAGGAAGGATGCTCTGTCTATGGAGGGAGTGCAATAATGGTTTACCAGACCGATTCCTGGGATGGCAGGACAGTTGTGTGAAGAGAAACTGGATCAGTTAGGACTTTATTCACTGGCGTTCAGGAAACATGGGAGGGGTAGGAGGTGTAATCCCATAGAAACCTATAAAATTCTAACAACAGATAAGGTAAGTGAAGGAAGGATGCTCCTGGTGACAGAGATCACAGTATAAGGTTATGGCCGTAGGCCACTTAGGAGAAATGTCTTCGCTCAGAGAGCAGTGAGCCTACAGAATTCTCTGCCACAAAGTAGTTAAGGCGAAAACACTGAATGTTTTTACAAGGAGTTAGAGATAGTTTTTAGGGCTGAAGAGATCAAAAGGTATGGGGTGAAAGTAGGAACAGGGGACAGAGTTGAATGATCAGATATCATCATATTGAATGGCATAACAGACTCAAAAAGGACAGAATGGTCTACTCTCGCTCCGGTTTTCTACCTTTTCAAAAAGCCTGCCCCTTATTCTGATGCAGTGGTCCTTGGCTCTAGACAGGAACATTGGCATAGGTCAGTGAAAGGATTCCAATAATTTCAACAGGTGAAATGCCTATTGCTCCGATTGTCTACCCCATCCTCAACATAACAGCACCTTGAGCAGCCAGACGAACAACTTCCATTCTTGACATATCGTGAGTGGAATGTTTTTCTTCACATTCAAATCCAAGACACATTTTAGGTACAGTCAGAGTACCAAGTGCTTTGAGATAGCATAAGGTCACGAAAGACAGTTATACTTCCTTGCATTCAGAATATTTGTTGCTTTCCTCTATTACCTGACCCACTGAAACATCCTTTTTTAAATATGGGAATAACCCAAATCAAAAACACAGACCCAGTTATCATGTGCTTGTACAGTTTCTGATTTTAATTTGGATTAATATTTTGCTATTATTGCATAGTAGCAGATTGATTGGTAGACTTTTTGTTCGAGATGGTATTAATGCCAGTCAGGGTCTCCTTGCTAAATCAATCGCTGTTCCCCTCTCATGCATTATTAATATTGGTTTCCCACTTGAATTACCATTCTTGCAAATTGTTCTGATGAGTGCAAGATTACTGTATATATAAAGGAAACTAAGGCAGGTAATTGGAGTTCTGATTGGTTCAACCATGATCTAATGAGCAAAGGGAGGTTGAGGGTTGGGATGACTTTCTCAGCAGAGTGGATATTCCAGCTGAATTACATAATCTCTTCACTCAACACACAGACACACCTAAATTCCTGGTCACCAATGATTGGATAATGAGCAGGAGTGAAAATTCCTTTCATCCTGAAAACTGTCACAACACATTTTGTTGTTAACCGAGGGTCAAAATTAGCACCTTCCTATTCAAATCAGCCCTATCATTACTGCATTATGGAAGCTAACCACAGTATTTGGACGAAAAAAAAAGATTTAAAATCACCAGGGATCACTAATCTCAAAGCCACAACGAAGTTCCTTTGAAGAGTAGTCACTATTGTAATGCAGGAAATACAGCAAGCTCTCACAAACAGCAATGTAATACTAACCAAAATCAGTTTTTTTTAAAAAAAAGATAAGGATTGAAGGGATGTTAGCCTGGACACTGGGGAGAACTCCCCTGCTCTTACTTGAATAGAGCCAGGGGATATTTATGTCCAACTGAGGGGGAAGATGGAGTTTCCATCTAAGGCTTCCACTGAAAAACAGCACCTCTGAAGAGGCAGCACTCCCTGCATAGTATACTGGAATGATCAGTGCTCAAATTCCAGACTGGGAATTGCATTCAAAATGTTTGGACACATTTAGTTTTAAATCCACTGCACAAAGTCATGACGACATGCCAAATGAACACTGCATTTTCCCAGCAGACCTCAAGGCAATGGGCTTGCAGGAGTCAACAAAAGTGGCACAGGTCAAGAACCTAGGGAAAGAAATGGACAGTAATAAATTTTAGAAGAAGGAATTGATTTCACTCCACAACCTCAGCAATATGGATTTTATTTTTGTGTTTCTCCATGAAAATGAAAGCAGCATATCACAACTGGAAAAAATCTTTTAAATGCATTTTTTCCCTTCGTTTTAAAATGCTGCCATTTCAAAGCAGCTGTTAGTGCAGGTTTCGATGGTGAAATTGCTCTGAAAGCTGTTGAGATTCGTCCTGCTGAGAAACAAATCCGTTCCAACACTGAATATTCAAAATGTTAAACATAGCAATTATTTACAGATTAGGTGCCCTGCCATAGAGGCAACACTTATGGACAGACAAGAAGTGAAATATTCTCCTGTTCCAATGTAGTTGAAGACTTGAAATTCCCCCATCCTCCCAAATGTGTGATCCATTCAGTCCTTTACGAATGCCACATCCTCAGTTAAAAAAAACTCACCCCAATCCCGCAACAAAAATAAACACTGATTCTCACCAGGGTGCAATCCCATTGACTTCCTTAAATTTCAAATCATGAACCCAGAGAGCATTGGACAATTTGCTCAAGATCCAACTCAGTCCAGCCATCATCTGTTGGCATGCACTGTTTTCAACTGGGCAGTGAGCAGCTGTGGGAAATCCTGCCTGTTTTTCTGCCTTGGCCCCTCAAATGCTTAAGAGAGTCCTGAGGCTGTGCTACACAAGCCCAGTTAGCACCTGACCAGAGATTGAAATCTTTTGCTTCTTGACACAGTGGGATCTTTCCTGTGGTGTTGCTCAGCAAGACGGAAGAGAAGAAAACACCAAGTCAATTCACGGCTGCAGCTTTTGTTACAGTAACACCAAGACCTGTCTACTCAATGAAATAGTAGTGTAACCATATGGAAAGGGATGTCCGATGTTAAATGTTGATCCAAATTGTGACTAAATGTTGTAACAGCTCCACAATCATATCTTGTGCCACTACCTTCTGGCTCATGAATAAATCATGATTACATTTTTATTAATTTGGATTCAAGAGCTAAAACTCAGTAGTGTGCAGGCCTTGAATATTGTTAAGAGACGTGCTGCTGAAAATTCTCAACTCGCAATCATTAGAATAAAAAGCAAAATGCCATACTTCAAATGATCTCAATTCATTATTTGTATTTTTAATATAGATTGTTGAGAGCATTTAAACTTTGGTATTTTTGCCTTTGCCCTGCTGAATGCAAGATAAAAAGCTTCAGCAACAAGTCCCTGTTTCAAGCAAGGTTCAGGAACTGTTGCTGGTGTTTTGGAAATAATGTCCTGCGATTCCACCCATTTTCCGTGAAAGCCTCATAGTAAATATCAAATCATTGGCTCAAATTAAAATGCTGTGATTCTCCATATCTAAAGCAAAATAATTTTTAAAAAAAATGGAATTTCAACAGTTATTGGTGGAGTAATGCTGTGTTCATGCAACTTTTCCAGAAGCTAGAGTGAACTAAACCACTTTGGGAGGTTTCAAGTCTTCTACAACACTTAGGAATAGGGAACATTCCCAAACAAACAATGAGAACATATACAACTCAAATGATATTCAGGAGTAATAAATTGATAACATTTACAATGTCTTTAGCAATCAGCTAACTATTAACCATTGCAACATTTACGCTTGTTCCCAGACACTTGCCTTTCAGTTTTATGATCTAACCCTTTAATTGGGAACACAGCCAGGGTTCGGTTCATTCCAGGCCTGTATTCCCTTTTCCCATTAACATGGGACAGGTGTCAGTTCAGCGATTTTTAAACAATGACATAACTGTACTGTTGATGCAACAAACTGACTGCATAGACCATGCTTAATGCTCACTGTGACCATAAAGCACGCTGTCATTTTAAGCCATAAGCAAGAGCTAAATGAGGTTTCAAGTTTTTCTAAATCTCAAAACCCGGTAAGTGGAAAGAAAATAGTCAAACACACAGGGCTTCCTGTTGCTGCAGTAAGAGGTGGGGAGACAAGGGGGAAATGTGTCTCTCGAAAGCAGTGAGTGCTCTACAGTTTTAAACAAATTCCAGAAGGCCACAACTGTTTTCACATAAAATTGTCAATCCAAATCTAGTAACAGAAACATCTTCAAAGTGGAGCTAAACTGATCCTGAAGTGGAGTTTAAAAATCAATGGCTTCAGTACTACCAAAACTGTAATGCCTTGTGATCACATCAATGGTCAATTTTGGTTGGAATCTTTTCAGTATATATTTTCTAAAGTCAAAGAAACCCTCTTGCACCTAAAACTAAAAATATTTACACTATTTCCTAAAGATAGCAACAGGTAGACTTCTTAATCTTCCTAATGAGTATTTTTCTAAGATTTCTGGTATAAGACAGTGCCTTATATGGGTGTTGTCAGCAACAGGCCTAGACTTCATGTGAACTCTCATCCTCCTTCCCCATTATGAATAAGCACCAAATTCAACTTAGGACTTGCCCCAGCAGAATATCACGAACTAATGTGCTCAAACCATGGCCGGTGTGCCACCCTTCTCGATAAATCATTACAAATCTCTTTTCTTGATGATTACTCACGACAGCGAAGGCATTAGGAAGTGAAATACCATCTTTTATTCCGTGTTCTGTGCGGGTCACTTTGTATATCTAATCCACCCATTGGTTCAGTGGACTTGCCATAATTTTGAATGCACGCAGTTACAAAACGTCCAACACTCCCAGGCCAGCAACAGATTTTTCTGCCCTTTTTGTATTTACCTCTTTCCCTCAGAGAGGAAAACTGAAGTCAACTCCAAATGGACTGTCTTCACTTGTGGAGAAGGGCAAAGGTAGAGGCCACCAGTATAACTGCCTAAAATCAAATTGGGAATTTAGAAAAATCTTTACCTGGAATGTGTTGGCAGTGTGCAACTCATTATCACATGGATTAATTGAGGTAATTAGTTTAGATGTAGTTTTGGAGGGGAGGCTGGATAAGCAAAGCAGGGAGAAGGTGCCAGATTTATAATCCTTTGGAAAATGGTGTTCTAGTGACACAGTGCAAACAACAGAAATAAAGACAACTTTATGAGTCTAATGACATTTTAGAAGGTTACATGCAGAAAACAAGCAGTAGGAGCATGAAAGACCAGCAATAATGGCAGACAACTGAGTTAACATGGCAATAAAAGATTTTTAATAACTGTAAAGTCTAGCCTATACAATTTCCTTTTTTTAAAAAGCCACTTGCAAATTTCTAGCGTGATTTATACATCTGAGTGACTTTTTTTCCCCTCAGAGGTATTAACCTACTAGTGTAAATGGGATATAGTTCAATGGGGGTCATCACAGTGTGGGAGAAGGACCAACTCATGTTTGAGCTGCAAATGCACGAGATGCTGACCATCTCAGACAAGAGAAAACATAACCACAAATACTATTGTAGATCTCCCCACTATCAGCATACTGGATATCATCATTGACTGGAAATTCAACTAGGCCAGTAACAAAAAAAAAAGTCAGCATCTACTGCAGCAGGTCAGGAGCTAAATATTTTACAGCAAAAGTGACTTCCTAATTCCCCAAAGCTCCTCTCACCACCCAGCAGAATGTAAGTCAATAACACGGTTGAATGCTGTCAGTTTACCTAGACAGTTGTAACTATTAATAACACTCAAATGTTCAACATCACTGTGGACAAAGCAGGACAGGCACTTCATCCACTAGTCTATACCCACAACTGGTGTTCCTTAGCTGTGGTGAGCATGGTCAATGAGACGCAATGCAAGAACTTGCAGATCGCAGTGAATCCATTCTTCCATTATTAAGGGAGCTACTGCAGGATACTTGGAAAATTGTCATGTGATCAGGCAGACCTAACATGGTTTTGAGAAAAGAGTACCATGTTCAACTAATTTATTAAGAGTGTTTTGAGGAAATAACAGACAACGTGGGTAAAAGTTAACCTGTGCATGTGGCATACTTGGCTTTCTTAAAAAGGTACTTGATAATGTGCCATATCAAAGGCTGAGGTGCAAAGTAAGAGCTCATGGTGTCAGCAGTTAGTATAGATAAAGGATTGGATAGCTAACAAAACAGAACGCATAGAGATAAGGTAGTTTCTTTTGTGTAGAATGTCTGGCACCTTGACTACTTGCAATCTATGCTGATAACTTTTGAGGTGGGTGTGAAGTGTAAGAAGGTTAAAAACTTTACTGATGATACTGATGTAGCTGAGAAAGTTGCCAAGAGGACAGAGAGCTTGCAAAGGGATACAGACAAATTAAGTGAGTGAATAAATATTTGGCAGACTGAGTATAACGTGGGAACTTGTGAATGCGTTCACTTTGGCAGGAGGAACAGAAAAGCAGCATTTTATTTAATTGACGAGATTTGCAGTACCTGGAGGTACACAAAGATCTAGATGTCCTGGCATATGAATCACAAAATGTTTGTATGAAGGTACATCAAGTGACTAGGAAGGCAAATAGAGTTTTGGTGTTTGTTGGAAGGGGATGGAATCTAAAAAGGAAAAATGTTACTGCAGCTGCACAAGATTTGAGAACACATCTGAAGTACATAATTTTGGTCTCTCACTTAAAATAATATAATTGTGTTAAAAACAGTTCAGAAAAGGTTGATTCAGTTCTTTCCTGGGAATAAAGGGCTCATCTTATGAAGAAAGTTTGACCAGAGTAGGCATTTACCCATAGTTTAGAAGAATTGAGAGGTGATCTCACTGAAACACTTTAGGCCCAAAGGAGATTCTGAAAGGATGCTTCTACTTGAGGGAGAGACTAGAACAAGAGTACACAGTTTAAGAATAAGTAGGATCACAATCTAAGTCAGAGATACAAGACTTTCTTTTCTCTGAGAATTAATACTGTCTGTTGAATTCTGTTCCCTGGGAAACTGTGGAGGCTGATCATTGAATCTTTTATGCAGGGCTGTATTAGACAGATTTTTGATGGACAAGGGAGTCAGGGAATAAAGGGAGAGGGCAGTGAACAGGAAAGTGGAACTGACAGCACAACCAAGTCAGAGGTAAATTTTCTTGAACGGCAGAACAGGCTCCAAAGGATGAACGGCTGATAAATGCTCATCAGTCCTATGCAACACTACCCAAAATGACAGTCGCTAGGTCAAAATTCTGGAAGTCCCTAACCTAAGAGTACTGTGGGAGCAGCTTCATCAATTTGACTGCAATGGGTTTGAGAAGGCCATCCACCACTTCACCTCAACAGGACTAATTATGGGCTATAAATGCTGGCCTTGTCAATGATACCCAATTCTTGACAGTGATGAGATTCTCTGCCCATAACTCCTTTCGGTTTGAATGGATGAATTATGATGAAACGTACATATTTTAATCAATTTTATAATTCAAGATTACATGTGCCATTGGGAAAGCCTGAGTTTCGGAAGCTGTGTTTCCTTGAACTCTCTTGTTGACATTTGACCAAACCATGTGGGCAAATATGGTGGCTTTAATGCTACTCTGCCAGCTTTCCAAAATGAAAAAAGGAGTCAAAGAGGTTTAATTGCTTATAGACGGAAATGCGGAGCTGAGGCATGATCTTACTGTACAGTGAAGAAAGGGCCAAGTGGTCCACTCCTGTTTATTTGCTGTGTTGTATGAAAACCTTTTTAATTTCAAACTCAAGACCCTCGCACAGGAAAACACATGAGAAGGGGGCACTGACTTCAGTCAAAAACTGTTTCTCGCTCCACAGATGGTGCCAGATCTACAGAGTAGTTTCAGCAATTTCTGTTCTTTTTTTGACTAATTCTAAATTAATTTTTAATTGTATGAAAAATTCAAAAGGATGTTAGGCCATACTCTTCCAAACAACTTATCCCATAGATAGCCACTAACAATAAGTATGTTTTAAGACAGTATGCTGCAAAGTACATAAATGAAACAACTTGGTAGAAAAAGATGTTATTGAAGTCTGCAGGCTTCCTTAATATTTCAGTACAATCTTGTTGCTAGATATTAAAGAAAATTTAACTAATTAAGCTTTGTTCAAGAAGCCAAATAATCTGGTGGCCAAAACACGATGGGTGTAACGATTACTGTAATGGTGACATGCAAGTTGATATGGGTTGGATTGTATCTGCTATTCCGTCTGCTGCATATTTAACCAGAATGTAGGTAAATCAAACAGTATCACTGTCTTCCTCAAGTTGTCAGCAACAGTCTGAATAGTGTCAAATTAGTGGAGATTGTTTAAAAAATACTGCGGTGGGTTTCTAAGTTACTCATACAGAAAGCAACCACTTGCTCCGTGAACACAGCACCATAAAGTAATGCGCCTGCCCACCTCCAACAATAAAAAGCAAAATAAACCTCAGTTTACATATACAAAATCAATAATGAAGAGCATTTCTTTTGTAGGCATTGCATATTTTACAAGTACGTACAAATATCTTGAAAGCATTTTAGCATCTATGTGAGCAGCACACAGCTGAGCAAAGCCGCCAAACTTTCAGGGAAAGGGAAGGACTATGTTTGACATCACTGATACAGTCACAGGCTCACTGCTGGGATTGTTTAACTATCAGTTTGACATTGTACCCCAGGTGCTGTAAATAACCAACAATGCAATAAAGCCACGATGTGGAGGCACTGGTGTTGGACTGAGGTGGACAAGGTCAAAAATCACAATACCAGGTTATAGTTCTGAAGGAGGAGGGAGGCTCCAAAAGCTTGTTTTCAAATAAACTTGTTGGACTATAACCTGGTGTTCAGTGCAATAAAATGTAAGGGTGACATAAAATGGGAATCAGGGAGGCAACAATGAGCTGACAGCACGACAGTGATGACTCACAAACTTCTAGAGAGGAAGTCTCATCTAAACGCACATACTAAATTGACATCTTTCCTTCTAGAAAGCATGGTCTCCATGCCAGAATTTATTTGCACCATCACGATTTTGCAGATTTGTTTTCTCCACTGAGCTCTAACTTTTGCTCTTTTCTGTCAAATAATTTAGTTTGCTAATAAACTAAAAAAGGTAGGCCACTTACTGCAAGTCTACGGAGGAGGAAATACTATTGCGTTTCCTTCTCACTCGCTTGACCCAAGCCAATTGCATTCTATACAACAAAGCTAACCAGTCAATTTTCTAAACTGCACTGGGAAAGGGAAATGCAAAATCAACAGGCATTTATCTAAAAAGGTTTCCTGTTTCCATGTACTTCTAGCACTGGGTATTGTGGGTGACAATCCTAGGTGGCAGTATGAACTACTGTGAAGTGCTTTGAAAATGAGGTGATCAAAAATCAATGGAGAAGTGGGGAACAGTTCTCATGAAAATGAATTATTTTCCATAATTCCCACGCAAAAACAATGTTATTACCAGGATTGAACAATATATTGGTAGCATCAAAATATAAAGGATGAGCTTGTATCTTTACTAATCCTCCTTACTCAAATGTTCTTAAACTCATCACCTCAAACTCTTTGCTTGCTGCAATTGACAGACTTTGTATACATCAGCATTTTAAACTCAGACAACACAAAGGGGAAAGAAAGTCTGTTTTCTTTTCGTGGTTCAAAGGAAAATTTCAAAGAGTCTGCCATTTAACATGACTGAAATCCAAAAGACATCACTGCAGAGTTATGGGGAAGAGGACTGGGAGACAAGCAATTCAGTCAGGATGTGGGGGTCATGTCTAGGTCGATGACAGTGCTCCAATTACGTTTTTAAAACCACCGTAGGCTCTGATGGACAGGGCTTGAGACCACTCCCAAACTTTTCATGTGAAATCTCAAGCTGGACCTTCCTCCTTCTCCAAATAAAATTACACATGGGACAGAAAAGATAAGAACATTGGAGACTTCACTTCCACAATGAAGCGCACAGCTGAGTCTGAAAAATATGGACCAGTTTTGCTTTGATTTAAAAGGAATAAGGCCATCAAGTCCAAAATTCTACTTCGTTATTTGCCTTTACTTTTGTAAAACAAAGCCGAAGACACAAAATAAAAACAAGATTTGATATCTGATGAGTTTTGCAGAAGTTGCACAACAAAGAGACGATATTCTTTCTGTTAGCCTGAATATGGTAGGCACGATACACATGTACACACACAAACACACACACACACAGACACGGCCTTCTCTATGTGTGGTCCATGCTACTCACAGAAAAAGTGCTTCACAACAGATGGATGTCTTGCACGTTCTCTCAACTGGCAGTGTGGATTGTGCCAAAGTTCAAGGCAAATCAGAAAACGCTGTCACAAAATAGTTACCAAAAAATATCTTCAGAATTCCTTTCCCAAACGTTTTACTTTAAATTTTCTTTAAAATCGGCTTATTTTCCATAATTCAGTAAACGAACAGCATCAAATCTTAGGTAAGCTCACATTAAAACCAAACACAAATCCATTAAATAATTTAGCACCTTTTCAAAGCACATTTGAAGCAGGATTCTGCCGCCTAATTTAGTCAAGTTTTTTCAGACACCACCATCCATCTCCCACCTCCATCACCACCATATTAATAACATGCATCACTTTCAGTAGGAAGTCTCCTCGCACTCAGCTACTGAGAATGTGCTTTCTGCAAGCCCAAAGCAGCAGGAGTCACATTTACTCACTTTTGAGTCAAGAGGCTTCTTGTCCAAGAAGATCTCAGTGGAGAACAATTCACACAAAGATGTATGAGTGTGATGGGACCAGAGAACTCTACAGTGAAAGACTTGCCTTTGTCTCAGTCAGTGTTACAATCATACAACAAAAACAGAAAAATTCGGAGTTCTGAAGAAGGGTCACTGGACCCAAACGTTAACTGTTTCTCTCTCCACAGATGCTGCCAGCCCTGCTGAGTTTCTCCAAACAATTTCTGTTTTTGTTTCAGATTTCCGGCACCCGCAGTTCTTTGTTCTGTCATAATTATGCAAGTTGTATTGATCTGTAGGTGGTCTTGTGGTGTAGTGGGTAGCGTCCTTAACTCTGCACCAGAAGTTCCGGGTTCAAGTCCCACTCCAGGACTTGATGGCCACGGAAGGAGCGTTCCCATCACAGCTAAAACAGGTTGATTATCGCTCTGTCAATCCTTCCAAAATGCCTGGGGCAGACGATTAAGACTGACAAGTTTCCGTCAGTCAGCACTGGGCGGCAGATGCAGTGCAATAGCCTCCCCATGTTAAAAGACTCCATGTGCAAGTTCTTGCCACGAGCAAGCATCAACCTCATTCCAAGGGATGACCCCACACACACACACGCGCGTGCGCGAGCACACACAATCACATACACACAATGATCACTACAGGAGGCACGATAACACAATGCTTTTCCAACTGCCAGGAATATCAAAAAAGGGAGATGGGTTAAAATTTCACCTTTCGTAAGTCCTTGAAAATAAACACATGGAGGGCTAACATAAAGAACACAAGTCTCTTCAGTGATCTGTTCACAGTAAAAATCTCTTAGTGAAGGCAATGGCAAGCGTTGCATGCAGCTAGGAAGTTTTGACCAAGTCATACACATAAATGTGAAAATCGTCATCGAACTTGATGAAATAGACGGATGGTTTAGCCTGTACTTGGTGGATCACCAATCCCGTTCTCTTTGTGCTGTCCTCTGTGACGTACTCCACCTGTTTCCCCACAAGACTTTCAATCACTTCACCAGGCTCAGTTGGCAAAACTTGCTTGTTCTCTGTCACAAGAAAAGGTACGATTAAAGTCTCAACCAATGCAAGTTAGTTATATATTTTATAGAGGTGCCTAATGCAAATGGCAATTATTATAAACATGGTTAATTATTGATTCATTAGCATCTTTAGTTAGAGCTTTCCCAAATTAAATAAAGCATAACAAAAGCCCCATTTTCTCTTTGAGACACAGTCTGCCAAGTACACATCCAATTTTTGATGTTAAGTCTATTTTAAAAGTATTGTGAATTGTGGAAACACATGCTGTAAATGGGATACCCCACCGTCACTATGTATCAGTGATGGAGGAAGGGAATGCAGAAGGTGGTGGATGGGGTGTCAAACAAGTGGGTTGCTGTGACGTAGTTGATGTTGAGCTTGTGCAGCTGCACACATCTAGCCAAATAGCGAGTAAATTGTCAGATGCCGGACTTATAGTTGTAGCTGACTTTGGGGAATCAGGAGACTAGTTACTTGTCACAGAGTTCCCAGCCTCAGGCCTGTTCTTTAGCCACATATATACATGGCTGATCTGGTTGTTTCTGGTCAATAGAGGGCCATTTCCATATTAATTGCTACTCATCAGCCCAAACCTCAAATGTTGTCCAGGTCTTGCTGTATCCCGACACAGACAGCTTCAATATCTCAGGAGATGCAATGGTACACTGTGCAATCATCAGTGAACATCCCCACTCCTGACGTTACAATGGAGGGAAAAGAATTGATGAAGCTGCTACTTGCATATCAACCAACACCAAATCCTGTTCACCCAGTACTTATGCTCTCTGAGCCACATCAACCCCGAGTCCTTAAAGCTTCAAATACAGAATCATTAATAGCTGTGGTTTCATCCTTCAGCATTTCTGTAACCTCTTTCAGTCCTACAACCTTCAGAGTCTGCTCTCTTGCAAATCCTGCTTTAATAGATTAAAACTTCTTTTCCTCTCTAGCGGTTTAAGGAGGTCCCATAATAAACTCCAAGGAAACAGCTGAGAATTGGATGTGGGAATCATACTCTCAAGTAGGTAACTGCATGTGAAAAAGAAATTGGTTATACTTTTGAAAAATTTCTTGCGAATTAATTGCCTCCCTCAAAATGGTGTGCTGCACAAGTGTTGAATATACATGTGTAAACAGAGGTGCAGGCTCTATGATCTAAACGGTAAAGTTGCTCTCTCATTCGGTGAGAGGTGACTGCTGGTGGTTTAACTGGAGGGTCACCACACCTCAAGTGAGGGGAGGGGTTGAGAACGAGAGCGGAAGCCTCAGCCAGTGTGGGAATTGAACCCACACTGTTGGTGTCACTCTCCAGCCAACTGAGCCAACCAGTCCTTCAAGGGATTCTGAAAGAGTTTCTCCCCTACAAACTAGACAGCACCTCAGTAGAATCAACAAATGCTTTTGCTTTCCCTCAATGGTTGCACTGACAACTGATACAAGCACAGCTTGAAGTGTTTCCGATCTCTGTAGTTCAGAGACATAGGATTGATTTCTGAAGCATCCAATGACCAACGTTATCATGCATTCCACTGTAAAATGATTCCCAGCTGCAGGCATTAAATAAAAAACAAGGGAGGACCCACTAACATGAAACATTCTCCTCCGGGTCTAACTCAATGTGGTGACAAGCCACAAGCTAGGATAACTGCTCCCACCAGCTCTGCAGGACCCGTCTATGGCAGCAGAGGGAGCAATAAGTACAGGCCCTTCAGGCTTCTTGCCAATGTTGTGATCAAGCCAGCTAGAAAAATAACTGTCTCCCACTAACAAGGCTTACCCAGACTGGTGCAGAATAGAACATTTTTGATGGGCTCTAGTGGTGCAGTGGTATTGTCCCATCTCTGAGGCAGGAGGTCCAGGTTCAAGACCCAACTGCCCTAGAGTTGCGTAATAACATCTTTGAATGAGGTGGTTGGAAAATATCTAGAAAACCAGATTGGAGGGCTCTTGTGGTGCATTGATAGTCAGTGTTCCCTCTAATTCTTTTTCCCCCCTCATGCAAATATGGTCGACTCTTAACTGCCCTCTGGGCAATTAGGGATGTGCAATAAATGCTGGCCTAGGCAGCGACACCCTCATTTCATGAATTAAAAGAAACATTTCTCAGGTAGACTCTTGAGCCACTGAAACTGGTTTCACTTTGACAGTTTCTCGTGCTTCTATTCCTACCTGATTTACCTGCCTTTTCCTCATTTGCCTTTGCTAATTGTTGGTTCCCTGTGTCTTGTAAATATCTTTGCCTTCTCTCACTATCTCCTTTGGTTTCATGGAGCCCTTTAACCATCATTCATTTCCCACTTCTACTGTACATGTGTCCCTTTTAATTTAATCCATTCCTCATTTATTGTTGCATTCTGGTAAAACAAACAAGGGCAGGACTTGTACAGTTAAAAGTAAGGCCTTGGGTAGTGTTGTAGAACAGAGACACCTAGGGGTTCAGGTACATAATTCTTTGAGGTTTGCATCATATACAGATTGGATGGTTAAGAAGGCATTTAGCACACTTGCCTTCATTGCTCAGACATTTGAGTAAAGAAGTTGAGATATTATGTTGTTGTTGTACAGGATGTTGGTGAGGTCTCTTCTGGAGTACTGTGTCCAGTTCTGGCCATCCTGTTATAGGAAGGATTTTATTAAGCTGGAGAGGGTTCAGAACAGATTTACCAGGATGTTGCCAGGAATGGAGGATTTGAACTATAAAGGAGAGGCTGGATAGGCTGGGACTTTTTCCACTGGAGTATAGGTAGTCAAGGGGTGACCTCATAGGGGTTCATAGCATCAGGAGGAGCATTGATAAGTGTGTCTTTTCCCTAAGGTGGGGTTCAAGACTAGGGGGCATATTTTTAAGGTGAGAGGAGAACAATTTAAAAAAGACACGGGGCGGGGGGCAACATTCCCTCCCACCCCGCCCCCACACACACACACCCAGAGTGCTTCGTCTGAGGAATGAACTTCCAGAGGAAGTGGTGGATGCAGGTATTGTTACAACATTTGAGACATTTAGATAAGTACATGAATAAGAATTGTTTGGAGGCATATGGGCCAAGCACAGGCAGGTGGGACTAATTTAGTTTGGGATTATGGTCGACATGGACATTTTGTTGGATCGAAGGGTCTGTTTCTGTGCTGTATAACTATGAGTCTGTGTGCACCAACGACTCCCCGGAACCAGATGTCAATTCCACGATCCACATTGGCACGCTGATCACCATGTAGAGAACACCAGCACGGTGTACGGAGAAATTTGGTGGAATTGGTCCTACCTCTAGGCCGGAAGATTTGGGTTTGGGTCCCACCAGCCATGCAGATGTGTCATGCCATATCTGAACAGGTTGATTGGAGTTACTAAAAGACCATTGCAACTCAGCGTGTCTCAATTACCAGAGTGGCAGGTGCAGCGTGACCAGTGTAAATAGATTTCTCCTACATCCTAGAATTTCACTTCTTTTATAAAATATATTTTTTCATAGAATCCCTACAGTGTGGAAACTGGCCCTTCAGCTCAACAAGTCCACACCAACCCTCAGAGCACCTCACCCAGACCCATTACCTTTTCCCTGTAACCCACTTACACATCCTGAACGCTATGGGGCAATTTCTCTTGGCCAATCCACCTCACCTGCTCATCTTTGGACCGTGGGAGGAAAGCGGAGCACCCGGAGGAAACCCACGCAGACATGGGGAGAACGTACAAACTCCAAACAGACAGGCACCTGAAGGTGGAATCGAACCCGGGTCCCTGGTACTGAGGCGCAACAGTGCTAACCACTGTGCCACCTTGCTGCCCTTAAATGAGATGTGGGCATCACTGATCTGTTGCCCATCTCCAACTGTCCTTGAACTGAACAGCTAGGACACTGCAGAGGCCAGTTAAGCAGCAATCACACTGCTGAGATATCTAGAGTCACACGTCGACCAGACTAGATTAAGACAATAGGTTTCCCTTAGAAGGAAATTTGTGAACCAGATAGGTCTTGCAACAAACAAATAGTTTCATGGCCACCATTACCGAGACTAGCTTTCAAATTCAGATTTTTCTTCTTTCATTTAATTTAAATTTCCATCAGCTGCCATAGTAGGATTTGAGCCTGTGTCCCTGAGCATTAGCCTTGCCTCTGGATTACTAATCCAGTAATATTACAGCTACACGCCACTTTTTCCTCCCCATAAACCAAATATCTATCACTGCATTGAGTGGGGGCATGTCCATATTTGGCAGCTGGCTTGGTGGATTTCTCAGTCACAAGAAAGATGTCCATTAACAGCATAGCTTGCAATACAGAGGGTCTAGTTTGGCTCTTCAGTGGATGCACTGTGCCCACAGCTTTTGCCATCAGTTATATTGCTATTTGCCTTCTCTGATATGTCACTTTTGCTGTGGCCATAATCATGTGCAGAAGACAAAGGACACTAGCTTTTTCATTATGAATACATGCCCAGCGTTTTTGGCACAATAATAGTTTTTTAAAAATTCGCCAATAAATTTTACAGCAAGCACAGCAGAGGACGTTATAACTTTAGACTTGAAGACTTGATAGGAGGCTGTCTGTATGCATTTAATTGAAGACTGGAGATAATTTTCTCAGAGAGGAAAACAAATTTGTGACTTACCAAAACAGGAAGAGTTAGATGGCAAGATACTTCCAAAGATACATTAGTTCTGCAAATGGTTCTTCAGTCTAAGAAAGAGGCTTTGGTCTCTCAAATCTGAGACTTCCATTTGTTCCATTTACTTTGAGTAAATTTCTCAATTGTCAAATGCTTCAACTCAAATGAATTCTTTCCTGCAGTATTCTTGGCTATTGAATATTAGAATCATTAAGGTCTTTCTCTTCCACCACCCCTCCTCCAACCAAATGGTGACACATGCCTAATGATGGCTAAAACCTAGCACTGAAAACTATTCCATACGAAGGGGCAATTTTTTTGGTGGTGCTGGATGAGGGAGAAATCCTTTAGTCACTACAATGTTTGAAAGGTGTGCCATAGCACGTATTCTTTCATCCGCTGTTTTCCTCAAAAAAAAACATGTAATCTCTTCCTCTCAAATCAATCACGTTGAGTCTGTTCACCGAGGGGGCAAATCTGACCATTCCAGCTGATGTTTAACCAGACTGTTGGCTGTGAGACTCTGTGGAACTGCTACAAGTCTGAGGTGGCCCCAAGACAGGGAGCAGTTGAAAGTAAAAAGGTTATCAACCTGAAACGCAAATGGTTTCTCTCTCCACTGTCTAACCTGTGGGGTGATTACCAGCACTTTTTGCATTGGAATCTAAACTGATGCAGTGGCTAAACATGGCCTAGCCATGAGTGTAAAATTCCACAGCATTACGTACCTGAATCTGGCAGGATACGGAGATCTCCCTCTTTGTAGTCCTCCAGTAGCTGGTACATATACAGTACAGGGTCCTTTTCATATGTGATATAATACCACGTAGTCATGACAGGTGCACGAGCCAACACCATCCCTCGCCATTCGTTCTTCGATCCATCATCCTTCTCGAACATGTGCTCAACTGCTTTCCCCACTATGAGCTCTGCCAGGTCAGCATCCACTATTTTTGTTCGACCTGTTGGAAAGCAGGAATCACAAATCAATCCTGTTACGGAAAAGTGTGGCACAGTACGTGACCTTTCAACCAATGAGTTTATGCTGGCTTGCCCGATGGGTGTTTCAGTCCCCAATCCAGCTCTTTCCCCACAGCCTTGCAACCTATTTCTTCCATCAACTGTTTAGCCAATTACTTTTCTGAGACTGGTATTGGATTGTAACCACCAGTATATCAAATACTAACTACTGGTTGCATTGAAAAAAATTCTCATGTGACATCTGCTTTACGGGGGTCAGTTAGCTGGATAGCTGCTGGTTGGTTTGCAGTGCAAAGGGATGCCAACAATGTGGATTCAATTCCTGCACCAGCTGAAGTTACCAAGAAGAATGCTCCTTCTCAACCTCTCCCCTCGCTTCAGGGGTGCTGACCCTCAGGTTAAACCACCACCAGCCTTCTCTCTCCAATGAGAGAGTGTAGCCCTCTGGTGACCATCTTTTATTTCTGTGGTCAACCATCTTAAATCTTAGTTGTCAATCTTTGGAAACAGCTTGCAATTGCTGTGTAACCGAGTGCAATAATATGGAATTTGCTCAGGAATTTACATTTTTTTTGAGATTGCTTGTTTTCTCAAGATGCCTGGGTGCTGACAAGCCACGAGAGGCCACATGCATGTAAATGAGCCAAGTGTCAACAGACTATCTTGTGTGTGAGCCTTCATATTCATGTCTCTACCTGACGTTCATATACAGTTTCTGAGAGACCAATTTGCTGCTCCCTGTTGACTCCATATTTTGTTGGGTAAGGTAGGTGGGGTGTGGAATCTCAGAAACCTATAAAATTCTGACAGGACTAGATGAGGTAAATGCAGGAAGGATATTCCCAATGACTGGGGAGTCGAGAATCAGGAGTCACAGTCTAAGGATAGAGGGTAGGTCATTTAGGCCTGAGACAATGAGAAATTGCTTCCCCTAGAATGTGTTGAGCCTGTGGAATTCACTGCCACAGAAACTGATTGAAGCTAATGGGATCAAAGGGCATAGGGAGTCAGCAGGAACAGGATACAGTGTTAGATAATCAGCCATGATCATGTTGAATGACAGAACAGGCTCAGAAAAGGGCTGAATGGCCTAGTACTACTCCTAGTTTCTAGGTTTATGTTTATTGTCTATAGCCCTATAAACAGCTGCAGAGAGATAGGGCGTGGTATTAAGCAGGAAATGGACTTCAATCCAACAATTCTATACTGACCATAATCCGAAACTAAACTAGTCCCACCTGCCTGCTCCTGGCCTGTATCCCTCCAAACCCTTCCTATTCAGGTATTTACCCAAATGTCTCAATTGTTGTAATTGTGTCCACATACACCATTTCCTCAGGAAGCTCATTCCACATGTGAACCATCTGTATTAAAAAAATGTGCCCCCATTGTTTTTAAAAATCTCTCCCCCTCACCTTAAAAGCCCCCTACTCTTGAAATCCCCTCGTCCTAGGGAAAAGAGAACTACCATTAACCCTATCGATACCCTCATTATTTTATAAACCTCTAAGGTCATCTCTCAATCTCCTATGCTCCAGTGAAAACAGTCCCAGCCTTACTTTATAACTCAAACCTTCCATACCCAGCAACATCCTGGTAAGTCTCTAGATGCTAAGCAGTGTCAAGGGTTTTGGGGAGAGAATGGGAGTATGGAATGGAGAGCGGCATGGTGGCTCAGTGGTTAGCACTGCTGCCTCACAGCACCAGGGACCTGAGTTTGATTCCAGCCTCAGGTCACTGTCAGTGTGGAGTTTGCACATTCTCCCAGTGTCTGGGTGGGTTTCCTCCGGGGGCTCCGGTTTCCTCTCAGTCCAAAGATGTGCAGGCTAGGTGGATTGGCCATGCTAAATTGCCAATAGTGCCCAGGGGTATTTAGGTTAGGTGGGCTAGACAAGGGGAATGGGTCAGGGTGGGATGCTCTTTGGAGGGGCGGTGTGGGCTTGTTAGGCCGAATGGCCTGTTTCCACACTGTAGGGATTCTATGATAAGAGGATCAACAATGATCATACTGAATGGTGGAGTGGGCTGTATGGACCAAATGCTTACACCTACTCCTATTTTCTGTGTTTCTATGCTGTTGAACTACAAATACAAAATCAGTACAATTGCAGAAAAAAAATTCAGTTGTCTTATATTCCAAAGCAGAAAATGATGTAACCATCGCTTGCATTTACGTAGTTTAGTGGATTTCTGTTTCAGTAAATCAAAAGTAAACAAGGAATAATCAATTTCAGATATAAACTTTACATTGCAGGACCTGGTACCAAAGGAAAAAAATTGAAACTTTTTATTTTTACAAATAAGGACAATAAGTGCGGGGAAGTTTTGCATGTACTACATTAAAGTCTGTTGGGTTTTCTCCAGATTTGGCTTATATTCTAAGCCAAAGGGCCTGCCCCATGTTATTTTTTGATTTATCAAAGAAAACCAGATAATGTGTGATGTAGTGCGTGTAACTTATGTTTAAGATCATTTAAGATTGGAGTTTTGAATTTTGAATTAGTGACATATGGATTTCCCCCCCACCGTGTGAGGGGTTTAATGATTAACTTGCAAGTATTTCTGTAACCATAGTGACTTTTTGTTGAAACAACCTGATAGTAATGTAACTATCAGAGCCAGTGTTTTTTCGTAAACAGGTATGTAAGGAGAGTTTATGACAGAGCAACGTAAACATTGTGCATCAATATTTCTGGTTGAAACCTCTGGACTTATTGTGAGCTCAGGGGGGAAACCCATGACTTTAAAAGATAAAAGGATTTTTTTAAAGTTTCTGTTTAGGGCAGATGTATAAAGCAGTACTCCTGAGAAAGGCAATAGATATAAAGTAGATTACAGTAAGGAGTTTATACATAACCCCAGACCAGAAGTGTTTGGATAAAATGCTGAAGAGGTTATTTGAAGTCAAGAAATTTTAATTTCAGGTGTGCGAAATCTCCAGGAAGAGGCAATCAGATTTTCTACACTGGGAGTTAATGTCACAGTTAAATTAAGCCTACTGAAGTGCTAGAGAAGGTTTATCCCCCTCTGGTGACAGTACTGTACAGAGGTGTTCTTGGGATCTGTATAGGAGAATTTTTGGGATTAACGCAACTACATTTTAGCACGCATTTCAAAATCTCTAAATTGCGTTGTGGTAAATAGCTTACGTTTCTTCTATTTTATCTTCATTGCTCATGAAATAAACTTCTGTTTTCTTGTTAAAACCAAATTTGGAGCATGGTATGCCTATGCTCAGTAAAAGACTACCTTGTTAAAACCAAGAAACGAAACATGATCTATCAAGCTAGACTTCAGTCTGGGATCATATCAACATGATACATCTCATTTTTCCTTTCGAAACTCAAGGGATGAATTGTGAAAGATGGCTTTGCAACCTCTAGCGCGACACTGGAAGTGAGGGGTAGCCAATGGAATCTGTCCTGTGTTGTGTTCAGGAAAAAGCTCCTGCATAGTGCCTTAATCATGAAGACTACTTCTCACCCCAACAGAAGTGTGTCAATATCTGCAGCAGTGGCACACACAAAGTAAAGTTGATTTTGATTACATAAATGGTCGATAAATCTACTTACGCACACACACAAGAATTTACTTAATGGCTATGTGGGTAAATGCAGCATCTGGTGTGATATTGATTTCATGTTCTGGTGTTGAGCCGTGGCAAGTAAGCTACTCTAAGTAGTGGTTGCACTGGCCTTATTCCAAGTTCCAGTTCTGATAGTTACTTAGCGATTTGCTGTTGGAAGGCGCAACTGTGTGGGTGTTAAACAAAAAAGGTCACGCCTTATCACTAGCACAGACAAATTGGGCCAAATGGCCTGAATCTGTGCTGAAGGGTACATATCACTTGATGTGGCTCTCCCTCCATCAAGACTATCGTTCCTTATGTAAACTCCCAAGAATAGATCAGCTTTCTGAGCACGTTAATGGGAGGACTGGTGACGATTGCAGTATCTCATTCCAACCTGGATGCTGGCCCTTGAAGGAATAGGAAACGCAGAAGGGAGGGGACAAAAATAATGATCAAAGAGGAAAGTAATTTGTTTTAATGAAGTGGTGATTATCGAATACTCCATTGCCACAGATTATAGAGTCATAGAGCATGGAAACAGACCCTTCAGTCCAACCAGTCTATGCCAAACATAATCCCAAACTAAACTAGTCCCACCTGCCTGCTCCTGGCCCATATCCCTCCAAACCTTTCCTATTTATGTATCTATCTAAATGTCTTTAAGCAGTGTAATTGTATCTACATCCTTCACTTCAAGAAGTTCATTCCACATGTGAACCACCCTTTGTGTAAACAATTTGCCACACGTCTTTTTTAAAATCTTCCTTCTCTCACCTTATAACATGTCCCCCAGTCTTGGAATACCCCATCTTAGGGGAAAGATAACTACCATTGACTCTATCTATACTTCTCATTATTTTACAAACTTCTATCTGGTCACCTGTCAACCTGCTACGCTCCAGTGAAAAACGTCCCAGCCTATCCAGCCTTTCTTTATAACTCAAACCTTCCAAACCCGGCAACATCCTGGTAAATCTCTTCTGAGCCCTCTCCAGCTTGATAATACGTTTACTATAACTAAGTGACCACAACTGGACACTGTATTCCTGAAGAGGCCTCACCAATGTCCTGTGCAACCTCAACATGACTTCCCAAAAGGTCTGAGCAACAAAGACAAGCATGCCAAATGCCCTTTTTCTACAAAACCTCATTTAAGTGTGTCAAATAGTAGTCAAGACTGTAACGACTCACTTATTTTCTATAACTATGAAAAGCACAAAATGGAAGGTACCAACAGGTTCTTGAATCTTGTGCAAGACACAATGGAACATAGCTACTGTATAAAATGACAGCTATGACTCACCTGATGATGATGTAACACTGCACTCCCCCAGCCCTCTCCAGGGGTGACAGCAAGTTCCAGCAGCAGATATGTGACTCAGATCTTAAATTAAATCAACTACCATAGCTGACAGATGGGGCTCACAAATTTCAGTTCAGATGGTCCAGATTTGCATTGCTTCACACAACATGAATCCAAATTTCAAAAGTGAAACACAGTGAGCACTCGAAGGCTGTTTTGTCTTTTAATAGCAGTTAACAGTTACTTCATTAGAGTTTTTAAAATTGATTTTGATATTATGATTGAGATTTACCTGACATTGCAAAATCATTTTGGATATGAATCCAAAGTTCAACAATAAAAAGGATTAGCAGACATCTGACGTGTTTAAAAGGGGTCATCAGGGATTCTAACAATGGAAATTCATGCTCTGAATTTGGAACATAATTCTTTGTGAGCTTCCTACATCTCTCGTCTCCTTTAAGATGCCGCTTGAAAGCAAACTCTTTGACCGAACTTTTGGTCACTGTTCTCTTATTGGTTCATGTGCCTTGGTGTCAAGTTTTGTTCGAAAACATTCCTGTGTAATACCTTGGAGTGTTTAACTGCATCGAAGGGGCTTTATAAAAGCAAGTTGTTGCTGCTGTTGTAAACTACATGAAGATTTCATTTAATGTTACAAAAGTCTTATACATTCTTTAAAACATTCACTCATGGGACATGGGCATCACTGGTTGGGCCAGGGTTTATTACCCAACCCTTATTGCCCTTGAGAAGGTGCTGGTGAGCTGCCTTCTTGAACCACTGCAATTCATTTGGTGAAGGTAGAACAAGAGGAAGTTCCGGGGATTTTGACCCAGCAGTACTGAAGGAACGGTCATACATTTCCAAGTCAGGGTGCTGAGTGGCTTGGAGCGGAAGTTGGAGGTGGTCATGTGTTTGGAAAGTTCTGTCTAAGGAGCCTTGGTGAAATTCTACAGTGTGTCTTGTAGATGGCATACAGTGATGCTACTGAGCACCCAAGATAGAGGCAGTAGATGTTTGTGAATGTGGTACCAATTAAGTGGGCTGCTTTGTCCTGGATGGTATTGAGTATTTTGAGTAATACTGGAGCTACACTCATCCTGGCAAATGGGAAGTATTCTAACACCCTCCTGACTTCTACCTTGCAGATGGTGGACAGGCTTTGGGGAGTCTGGAGGTTACTTGCTGCAAAATTCCTCACTTAGACTTGTTCTTGCAGCCACAGTACCTGTATGACCAGTCACTGGTATTGCCCAGGAGGTTGACAGTAGGAATTTAGTGACAGTGATGTTATTAAACGTCGTGGGATGATCATCACTGGGCACTTTAGTATGAATGTTACTTGCCACTTGTATGGGCACCAGAGCTTTTGAAGCAGTTTGAGTTTACTCTTGTAACTGCACACATGCGTGCACAAAGTACATTAAAAACAAATAAACTGTGGGCCCACAATATATCGCTTACCGCTTTTATCTGGTAGAATTTCAAGACCCGAAACCCTTTCATCTTTGAAAAGTTCAATCCCATACACACAGTCGAATTCATCATACTTGACCAAGAAGAGTGAGGGGTTAACTGGCAGCTGGTCTAGCACTGTGCCCTTCCACTGGGTTACCACTCCAGACTTCTCCCGCCAACCATGTTGCACTTTACTGCCAACAATACTGCGCTGTTTGTAGGCAACTGGGTCACTCGAATCTGCTTTGGTACGCTTCCTTCGAGATAAAACACACACAAAAACAGCAATAATTTACATCAGTTCCATTCCATCACAACTTCATCAATTGTAGACCAAGTGCAATCATCCCAAATTCTAACAGGTGGTTAGAACTGCCAACCCAAATTGGTGTTTTGAGTCTTTCATTCCACAGTGAAGGTATGTCAGAACCGGGCCATCAAGATTCCACCAAAACCCCACCTCCTTACCATATCTCATGCTCTAAAACACATTTACTCTTGCTTTTCTCCCTCATGTACCCATCTACTCTCTATACCATTCATCACAACTACTTTTGTTGGTAGGGACTTTATATTCTGTCCATTCTGAGTGAAGAGTTTCTCTTCAATTCCTTATTGGATTTAGTAGGGACTATCCTACATTGATGTTTATGGTCTCTCGTTTTGGACTTCTCTACATACAATCAAGGGTTGGTCGCTCTACCCTTCATTAAGATCACAGATGATCTGATTTGATCATCAACTCTATATTCTTGCATATCCCTGATAATCTTTCATCCCCTTGGTCATCAAAAATCTATCCAATGCTGCCTCAAAAGTATTTAAAGGATTATAGTTCAGATTTGCCTATATCTAACCCTTTGGAAATTTAAACGCCTTTATCAAACAATTTCTCAATTTGTCTTTTTGTTAGATTTTTGTGAAAAGTGACAAATATACAGCACTACAGGGTAAAAGGTGAGGGAATGGCACCAGGATTGACGGATTACTCCTTCAGCAGGTCAGCACGGACACGCAGTCTGGATGGGCTCCTACTGTGCTGGCTGTGATTCTAATCTTCCAAGATCCCCAAAGCATGCTGTTCCTGAAGATGCTTCACATCCCAGCCACAGGGGGTACCTCCGAGTGCAGCTCAGTGCTTTCGTTTAATTTACTCGTGGGACGTGGGTACTGAACTGCTGTGATCCATGTGCTCCAGGTATGACCCATACTGCACCGGATTGGCAGCCTGGGCTTTGCCCTCAAATCTCTGGAGTGGGACTTGAACCCCAAACCTCTTGTCTCCAAGGCAAGACTACTACCCACTGAGCCATAGCTATCTTGATTGCCACATTTAATGTTTTGAGACTATACCAGTTATAGGAGATATCTCCCTCTAACCATGGGAATCCAACGAACATGGAACAGACGTTGTTCGTCCACACCTCAAATTTCCAAGACCTCCCGTTCCACTGGCAGACAAACAGTATTGTTACATCAGACTGAAAAGCTCAACTTACCTACAGTTGGAGCCAATACAGATCTAGTACTTGAAATAATCTACTTTCAGACTGCAGAGAAGAGAAACTTAATTTATTACAGTGAAAGATAATCTCAAGGTTAAAGTCAGGTCATTCAAGAGTGAAGAACGTCTCCTCGCAAAAGGGAATCTACAAATCTGTAGAAAGGCTCTAGAACCAGGAGAAATAATTTCAGGATAAAGGGGCAGATTAATTAAGATGGAGATGAGGAGAAATGTCACCACTCAAAAAGTGGCAACTTTTTGGAATTCTCAACCCCCTGAGGGCAGTGGAAGCTCAAATCAATGATCATGTTCAAGAAAGAAATTGACACTTTTCTGGAGACTAATGACTGTATGGGATATGGGATATGGGATATGGAAATGGAATGGAGGTAGAAGATCAGGCATGATCTAAATGAACGTTGGAACAGGCTTGACGGGCTGAATAGCCTACTGTTCCTACGTGACTCTCTAAAAAGATAGTGGCGCAATGGGTCAATTAACACCTTCTGGATAAATCTGGCCAATATATTTTAGTGAGGCAAGGATTAACGTTCCCTGTAAACTGTGTGCAGCCAGTCCAAGGTCCTGCGCATGTCGATCTGCATGCTAATTGCAGCACTGATGTTAAATCATTGCCATGCATGGACCTCTGAGGCTCACGCAACCAGGAGGAAAATTACAAGGAACACTGGTAAGGATACAAGATACAAATCAAAGCTAGGTAAAAAAGGATTAAAGGTACAGATCAGCCACAATCTAACTGAATGGAGAACAGGCCCGAGGGGCTACACCCATTGCAACGTTTCTAAACATGTCAATTTTAATGCATCAATTCACTGGCTTCTACAGCTCTTATTCAAAGGGGATTGCGAGTGTCAAAGTGCTAATGGAAATTCAGTCAACAGAATAATGTAAAGCAAGCCTGAGATCAATGTATATGCCAGCACATTAAATGCTTCCGCTCCACATTGAAATCCTGAACAGTACAACATATACACACTGGATGGTCTGCTGCGTCAGGTTGATGTGTGAACTACTTGCAAAATGGCAGCTGGTTCAAGAATCTATTTGCTGGAGCACAACCTCTGCACACCTTACACTGTCAAGACCACTGCAGAGCTTCTGGGGGCCCAATTAATGAAGTACACAGGCACCAAGTACTACTAGGAAAAGGCTCATTCGGTATTGAAATAGTTCCATTCTATCAAAGGCTATTGGGGAGAGCGGGAAAGAGGGTCGGAGGTGTTTGCATGATGGGGGCAGAAGTAAAATGAGTGGTGTTTGGGGGAGTGGGGGTTGACATGTAATTGGTTACAATTTCACAAAAATGGGACTCCCTGTCCTCATCAGCTACAATCAAGTGCAGATTGGAAGAAACAGCCAAGGAAACATGGAGCAAACCAAGCCAGTAGATTAAGCTGCAAAGCTGGAGACCCTGGGATTACAGAGTCAAATGCGCACTTGTGGGCAAATGTGAACAAATCTAAACAGTGACTAAATTTCAAAGTAATCTCAAGTACAGAACCAATGGCATTCACCACCAAGCTGTGGCTTTGTTCTGAACATCTCACTTCCAGTGCCCAGTCTTGAGTCTGATACTGCATGAGCTTTCTTCTGCAATACAGTCAATATTGGGAACTAGAGGACAGCAAGGTTTCTGTCCACAGTCCAAGGTGGGAAATATTCGTCAACCAGAATTTAAATACAAGGGCATTTTTTTTTTTATTTTGCTTCAAAATGGAAAAACAAGGCATTGCAACCACAGACAGAAAGAGAATTTTGAGTTCAAGCAACTCACTGGAGATCAGCCAGTAAGCAGTGAATACCACACCAAACAAAAAACATAAGCCTTTGGAACTGGCTTCTATTAGTACTGAGCTACTGTATCCATAGTAACAGAGTTGCTAAGGCTTAACCACTAGATGCACTAGCAGTGGATGTTTACCACCACATTCTTAACTATGATTTGACTTTATTCCACTTGATGTTTTCTTTGGGTTATGGTTTGCTTCAAGTTGCCACAGTGTCTGCATGGTGGCTCAATGGATGGCACTGTGATCCGAGTCAGCTGGCCCACACCACAGACTGCGGTGAAATAGCCTGGGCTGATGGTGCAGCACTCAAGGAGCACCGCACTGTTGGAGGTGCCATGACTTGAAATGAAACTTCTGCCCCCTCAGGGGCGTGTAGGAGTTCCCTCGGCACTGCTTTAGACAGCAAGGGCGCTCACCCCATCACCAACAGCAACACCCCCAACACATGTGCAAACAACATTGGGATCTCCCGAGATTGAGACAGACTTCATATTCTTAGGTGCTTTCGTCACTTCTGTTATACTGGTGCTTCAGGTTTACCAGTTTCTGTTCTTTCCCTGTTTAGACTTAGTGAGTTCTATGCATTGGCCTAGTGGTAGAATTGCTAGGCTATTAACCCAGAGACACAGGTAATGCTCTGGGGATCCTGATTCAAATTCCACCACGGCAGATGAAGTCTGAATTCAATAAAATCTGGAATTAAGAGTCTAATGATTACCATGAATCCATTGTCAGTTGTCAGGAAGCAGCAGTCTGGTTCACTAATGCCCTTTAGGGAAGGAAACTGCTGTTCTTACCTGGTCTGGCCTGAGAGACTCTGGACCCACAACAATATGGTTGTCTCTGAACTGCCCTCTGGGCAATTAGGGATGGGCAATAAATGCTGACCTAGCCAGTGATACCTGCATCCCATGAATGAATTTTAAGAAACAAAAAAGAAAAATCGGCCCCAACTTTTTACGTCAAGGCTAGTGATAACAGAATAAAAACAGATAATGCTGGAAATCAGCAGGTCAGATGGAGTCTGTGAAGAGAGAAACAGTTAATGTTTCAGGTTAAATAATAGCTCTGATGAGAGATCAACTTGAAACATTAACTCTGTTTCTTTCTCCTCATAAATAATGCCATTACCCAATGACTACTCCCAGCATTTTCCATCATTAGTTTAGATTTCCAGCATTGCTAGTATATTTTTGGGTTAATGAGAAGGAGACCATCTAGTTATAATACCACCAGGCTATTAATCCAGAGACCCAGGCAATGTTCTAGGGATTCAGGTTTGAATCCCACTACGGCTGAGTACAATAAAAACAAATCTGGGATTAAGAGTCTAATGATGACTATGTTGATTGTCGTAAACACCCATCTCATTCACTAATGCCCTTCAGCTAAGGAAATACTATTCTTACCCAGTGTGGCCTACATGTGATTAGTCCCACAGCAGCTCTTAACTACCCTCGAGGCAATTAGGGATAGGCCATAAATGTTACCCGAGCTAGTGACACCATCCTTTGAAAGAGTTAAAAAGAAACATGATGGACATTCTTGAATGAAGTACAAATCCGCAGTGCATAAACATCTGTGGTCCTTCAACAGTACCCCCGAAACCTGCAAACTAACACCTAAAAAGGGCAGCAGATACATAGGAACATGACCATACCCAAGCCATACACATTCCTGATTTAGAACTATATGGTCATTCCTTCATTGTCACTGCATCAAAATCCTGAACCTCTGGGTTCTAACACCACTGTGGGTCTCCTTAAAGCATCAAGGACAGCAGTAATTCAAGGAGGCAGCTCACCACCATCGTCCCAAAGGAAGCTAGGGTCACAAAATAAATGCTCAGTTAGGCAGCAACACGTGCATCCCATGAACAAATAAGAGAATATGCTCAGAACCAGTTCTCACATACAGGAGAGATCGCCTTTTAACTTGG